GCAGCGGGTGGGCCCAGTTATACCTAGGGGCCCTACAAGGCAGCTGCCCCATTTGTACCTCGTTAAAGACGGCCCTGGGACTAATATAGGCTCACAGAGGCTAAATGCATGTCATTCTAGAGTAAGGTCAACGAAAATGTGGCATAGATACAAAATTAAGATGACTAACTGCTGATGTTGAGGAAACAGCAGAACAGGACACGCAAGGGACAGAACAGATATTGTTAACTGTGTTAACTATGCTTACTAACTACATATAACTGTCTCTTTCCTAGCCAATAGACTAAGGAATCTTGGAAAGTTATCAGTTACAGCTTCATCCTGTGGTTTCCCTACAGACTATGGGAAAAAAAACAGGATGCTTTTTTTTTTTTTTTAAAGAAATAGCTTGATTACTGTTGGCTGTTACCAAAGCACTGGGCCAATATTGGTTGATAATGTGCTGTGAGATAGCAGAAATAAAGCAAGAGGACTGCTGAATCATTTTTTGTTTGTGCTCCTTGTGACAGATTTCGCAGGACCTCCACATGAGTCTAAGTGCTTGCTGCCATTGAAATATTCTGTGCAAATAAAAGGATCTGTGGGACATGCCACTAAAGATTTTTTTGATGTGTAAGAATGTTTTATTTAAATCGATTTATACATACCAGCAGAAACATGGTATCTTCTCAAACCTTCGGGATCTCATTTGCCCATCTGAAACATAGCTCTAATTTAATTCGTAGTATTATCTTTACATGATAAAAACCCTTTGAGAGATATAACTGAATAATAAGATCGAGGTTGTATGCAACAAAACAAACGGTTTCATTTTACGAGCTATCATAACACTTTTTCCATTTTTTTTTTTCATTCTTGATACTGAGGAAACATTATCTTTAATAGCATTTTAATAATTTAGATCTTGGGTGCTTTAAGATAGCTACAAAGACCCATTATGATACAGACCTGCATGGTAGAAAATGGATCTCAGAATAGAAACACTCTAGAGGCAAAAAGCTGGCAAAAGCATCCCTGCAGGGCGACGTACCAAAGAACAAGTTTTATCAAATAATAGACTTCATTGGGACCCATAGGGATTGTAGCGGAGAGGTAGTATAATCCACGATATCTCCGCTGGGTAACAGGAACAACATAAAATAATCCAGGGAATCAGCATACAATAATCCAGACAGCACTGTAGTAACCCTTCCTTCCCAAGAACTAGACGACACATAGGCTGGGAGTCAACTGACAACCTTTTAATCAGCAGGACAATTTATACAAGTCCCCATGCAAGGGGTTTCCTGAGTCCCTCCCCAGGGGCACTCCCAGAGGGGACTACATGGGGGACTTACATTACAACATATTTCTCCCATCAGGCACCGCTGCACGAGAGGGATAATCTTCCCAGAATGCACCGTTAAGTGGATTATCCCCTCGTGCAGCAGAACCGACAATTCACATAAAAATCCATAACTTGGGGAATATACAGGGAATTTACACGAATGGACGTTCGGTTGATAGCTGGGGTCTGAGGGTATCATTCGTGAGATTACCGCTCAGATCCCAGCTAAAATAACCGAACGCTGCACGAACAACACAATTCGTATAAAACATACAAAAAGCACCGATTGCTTTTAGGGAACAAAATACCGAACGTCCCGAAACTCCTGAACGCCCTGGAGGCTCAGCGGGGCTCATGCCGTCGAGTAGCCGTTTTTAGTACCAGGCGCTCGACGACATAACCCCGCTGAGGGAACAAAGGATCCAAGATGGCCGACCGCCGCATGGTCGGTAGTCGAACGACGGCCACCCAGGAGAGCCTCTAATAACCGATTGCAACAATGTTGCAATCAGTTAACTAGCGCCACACGCCTCTAAGTGTGTGGGCTATTAGGGGGTATCGCGTTCGGTTCACGAACGGCCCTCCAAAGTGCCGTTCGTGAAACGAACGGGAATCCCCATACAAACCGCCATTTGCATTCGGCGGAACAGATAAGTACAGGTAATGCAGGGAATACATGAAGCAGACACATACAGGTTAAAACGCATATCTCTCCAGACCTATAGGCAACCCTTAAAGGCATAGTGTCCAGTTATAGTCCAAGTGGCTAGGTTTGCCACAGGGATTTAGTATTTAATTTCTCTAAATGTCTTAAACCAGCAATCCTTAAACCGTGAATATTTGTGACAGACATCAGATGTGCCAGAGTTGGGTATCACTGCCTTAAACACGGACTCTCACATTTCTGTGTATACGGTTTCTCCGTTGATTTAAACATTTACTTGGCTTTACTCAATTTACTGGGACATCTCTTCCCAGCCTAATGAATGTCATTGCAAAATTGTTCTTAATGGGTTTTCAGAACACCTAATGCAAAGCAGAATTATTCTCCTGTCATTCTAAATAGCACGCAGCTTTTAGTAATAAAGTTTCATTGTTATACTATATGACAGCTTAGCCAGTCACTTTTCAGACAGGCTCACGCTAATTGGCAGTTTTCCAAGGTTTCCTTATTACTGAATTACAATGCCACGCTGCGCCATGTCCTTCTCATAGATTCCCCATGTCCTGCCTTGTATGTCATTTAAATTCCAAACATTTTACGCAAATGTTGGAAATATAGTATGTAAAATACTAATTTGGGATAATTCGATTTAAAAGAAAATAAAAAAAATTGGTGGTTTGGTTTTCTAAGGATTGAGAGTAGTTATATTTTCATGCACAGACGGATAGATGGCTGGAAGGATAGATAGATAGATATGTGATTTCCTTTGTGACGAACAATGTTCCCAGATACAATTAAAACCTTATGCAGAATATACAGTTATAGAAAGAAGTTCACAGGACCTTGATATGGTCGTGTTTATCAAAATAACCTCTACAGAGGTCAAGGATAGAAGAGTGTAAAATCGTCTAAAATAGGAGTTCCCAAAAGGTAGATCCTGCTATCACATCAGTGATGTTTTCCAGCCTTAAGAATGTTCTTGTCTATTCTCACTTCCATTAACTGTTTGTCTTTCACAGATTGGCCCCATAGGCTCCCTTCCTGTCTCTTTCACTCTTCTTGACACTCTTTACTGTATCTCGCCCGTCGCTGTATAACACACTAACGCTCGTCTTTTTTTTTTTTTTCTGCTTTATAGGCCGTCTCAAGATATCAGTTTGGAGGAATTTGACGATGAAGATTTATCTGAAATTACAGATGACTGTGGGATTGGATTGAACTATGACTCGGACCACTGTGACAAGGTAATTATGACACAGAGAAAAACAATTTGACAAATCAAAACTTAGCAGATCAACATTGAGCAATACAATGAATCACTCTACATATTGGGAGCTAATAGCTTTAAAGGGACACAAGAACCACTACAACTTAATGAAGTGGTTCTGTTGTCTTTAGCCTGTACCTGCAGGCTTTTTAATGAGAAGGCAGAGAAAAGGCAGTGGTTACACTGCTGCCCAGTAACACCTCTAGTGGCAGTCACTCACATGGCCACTAGAGGTGCTTCCTAGTCCAGTGCTGCAGAGTGTGCAGCACTGACGTTCAGAATTTCTACGCTCTGCATGGAGGTGCTGAACCTTTTCCATATAGATGCATTGATGAGAAGATGCTGACTGGCGCAGCGTGGCATTGTTCCAAACATGCGCAATAGCCTCCCAATGCATTTCTAAGGGAAAACATTGTTGTTCTTGTGTCTTTGCTTGCATGAAAACATGTGATTTTTGTACATATTGATCTCTGGACGCATAGATTATTATTTTGATACCACTGGGATTGCTTTTGATACTGTTTATGGATACCTTATTCATTTAATTTAGACGATAACGTTTATTTGTTCTTTATGTTGTGCTCCTCATTCTGTATTGATTGTGTCCTGATTTTGTGGTCCATTGGAAAATAGGATTGTTGAGTGATCACCCTGCTTTTATCTTTGATTTTGCAGATATATTTTGATTTAACCCTTTGAGTGTGCCTACCTTAGTAAATCAGATTTCTATAATTTAAATATGAGGCTGGTGGAATGAAATGTAAAAGACGTCGGTATTTAGAGAGCCTTTGAAAATAGTTAGGAGCACTATTGGAGATTACATAAAAGTATATTTAGGAACCCAGAAGCAGTCTGGACCTGGAATCCTTGGTCTCTAAGACATATGCCTCAAAGACATGGATTCTTATGACACAGCCAGCAAACTTTAGATTAGTTGAAAAGGTATGTAGCTACATCAGTGATAAATACATAAGGTGAAATTCAGTGGTTTATAATAATGTCTCCAGAAACCTTCAATAGCATTATTTGTGTAATATCCTGCTAACATTACAATACATTGGCGTAAACTGGTGAGCACAATGCTTCATTCACGGCTGAGTGGACATTTTACCCCATCCAGCCAGACTATTACATATTTAATATCTCTGATAATCTAATGAAGATCATTAAAATGAACTGCAACAGAGCTACCTAACTGAAATTTGTCAACTTAATATATCTTAACTCAGGCTTGTTGACACCCATTAAAGGGACACTATAGTCACCAACATAAGTATAGCTTATTGTATTTGTTCTGGTGAGTAGAATCATTCCCTTCAGGCTTTTTGCAGTAAGCACAGTTTTTTTTCAGTGAAAATGCAATGTTTGCATTACACCAAAGTGATAACTCCACTGGCCACTCCTAATGGGGCTGCTAGAAGTGCTCCCTGGGGCAGTGCTGCACAATGTGAAACACTGCCATTCAATGTCTCCACCTTCTGCATGGAGACACTGAACTTTCCTTATAGAGATGCATTAATTCAATTCAATTCAATGACGAGATGCTGATTGGACTGTGTTTGGCTTGTGCCTGCTCTGCCCCTGATCTGCTTCCTTGACAGTCCCAGCCAATACAATGCTTTCCTATGGGAAAGCGATGTGATTGGTATTCAGCAACACTTCTAATGATGTCAGCCAAGCTGATCGGGGCAGAGCCTGCAGCCGCAGAGTGCAATAAAGGTAACATTTTGTTATGTTTAAGAGGGCAGGGGGGAGAAAAAGGGGGTAGATGGTGTTTTTGATACTGTAGGGTCAGGAATACATGTTTGTGTTCCTGACCCAAGGAATGTTTTATGCTAAACATTCTGTTTCAATAAATGAACTCATATTCAAGATAGTGTGATAGGTGACGTATTTGTTGTATTATCTAAACCTGAGGGCACTAAGGAAGCTAATGAAATATATACATCCTATAACCTTGAAGAGCAAAATATCATCATAGCCTAAAATCTCAAATGTAATGAGTTTACTTGGTTCCACGTGTTTAACTTTCTCTCCTTACCCACTCAGGACAGCCTTGCGTTCGGTCGCTGTGATCCATCACGTGTTTTGTGCAGCTTCCAGGAGGATTTCCATGAATTTGAGATGATTGATGAGGATGACGATGAAGATGAAGAAGAAGAAGAGGAGGAGGAGGAGGAGGAAAATCCAGGTGAAGAGAACATGAAGCAGCAAGATGCACCACCTTCCCCAAGTCCATCACCTCTTCCTCCTGAAGACAGCCTGAAAAATAGACCTAGCACCTTGAGACTGAGTGCTCCTCGAACACAGGTGAGAAGATGATAGAAGGTAGACATAGGATTATGGAACACCAGTATCAGAAGATTATTTCAGGGAAATCTGCATATTTATACTATTTACTTTGTAGGAATATAAGATTTCTGTTATGCAGTCAAGAGACGTTGTAGGGTCCTTTTAGACAAAATAGATATAATTCTGGGTGTAATGACATATTTGTTATCTGATTAAATTGCTGATGTGGTTGTTGATTGCAAGTCTACTTGGAGAGTAAAATGAGATATGTTCTCTTTCATTTATGGGAATAATCATGATTTACAAAGTTGAGATCATCAGTATCTTTATTGGCAACATTACCTGCACTCCAACCAATAGGAGACTGGTCAGCTGATGTGGTCCGTTGGACTCACAGTACAATATCTCTAGAAACAGAATCTTTAACTCATCAAATAGTCTTGCGATAAGTAAAACAAATATTACTTTGCTGACAATTTAAGAAAGTATAGATGTGTTTCTGTGTAATTTGATTTTTTTTATTAAACACTGTATTATTGCATGTAGGTCAAAAGGGTATTAATTTTCACCCGAATTTAAAGAGCTTAATTTTTAATCTGTAAATAAAAAAAATATTTCTTAATGGCTTTTTACATAGACAAATAATATCTAATATCTAAAATCATGATGTATTAATAAACAGGAAGAGCATGCCATGTTATTAAAAAGCTGTGTGCATCGACATGCTAGCCTCTCAATACTAAGTAATTTCCTGCATCAGTAAGAGAGGATTTCATTGTAGGTGCACACAGGGCCGGCCTTAGGTGTTCAGGCGCCCTGTGCGAAACAATCTTGTGGCGCCCCCCCCCCACCCCCCTCACCTGTCTCTGTTTGGACCCCTTCAAACTATTTTAGGAGCATTCACAATCTGTTGCCTCCACCCCCTTCTACAAAACCACTGCACCTCTTAACCAAAATCCCTGGCCAGATCTTCACCAAGCCCCTGGCCACCACTTCATCAAACTCCTGGCCACCCCTTCCCCTTCATCAATGCCCTGGCCATCCCTTCGTCAAACTCCTAGCCACCCCTTACCCTTCATCAATCCCCTCCCACCCCTTTATCAATTCCTGCCACCCCTTCATCAGTCCCCTGCCCCTCTCATCAATTCCCTCCCACCCTTTACTCAGCCCTCTGCCCCTATTCATCAGCCGCCTGACCCCCTAATCAATCCCCTCCCACCCCTTTAACAGCCCTCTGCCCCATTCATCAGTCCCCTGACCCCCTCACCAATCCCCTCCCCCTTTTATCAGCCCCCTGACCCCCTCATCAGTACCCTCCCACCCCTATCACCCACCTGCCCCCCTTTAATCAGTCCCATGCCCCCCTTTTCAACCCCCTGCTCCCCTTCATCAGCCCCCTTAATACATCCCATGCCAAATAATCCAACCCCTGGCCACCCCTTCATCAGTCCCCTGCCCCCTCATCAATTCCCTCCCACCTATTTATCAGCCATCTGCCCCCATTTCATCAGCCCCCTGATCTCCTCATCAATCCCCTCCCACTCCTTTATCAACCACCTGCCCCCTTTAATCAGCCCCATGCCCCCCTTTTCAGTTTCCTGCCACCCTTTATCAGCCCCCTTAATAAATCCCCTGCCAATTAATGCAATCCATGCCACCCCTTCATCAATCCCCTGCCCCCCTTAATTAAATTCCTGCACCTCTTCAACAAAACCTATTTAATAAAAAAGAAAAAAAAAGTCACTCACAGTAAAGGCTGCTGCTCCCTGGACTGAGCTGTCTCCGCCGATTGAAGAGCACCGGGTGCCGCCTTCACTCACTGAATTGGATCCTTCCGCGGCTCCCTCTGATGACAGAGCACGTCGACGTTACGCAAGTACGCGGCATAACGCCCCCACGCTCCTCCTCCACCCTCCATACAGAAGTGGATTCCCGGCGGCGGCTCTCTGCTCATAATTTGCACGTCAAGTGCAAAGCAGTATTATGCACTTGACTTGCACTTTAAATACAGAACTCTGCCGGCCTGCGAGCTGTGTTGGCTGCCCGGCGCCCCTGTTGCCATGGCGCCCTGTGCGGCCACACAGCTCGCACACCCCTAAGGCCGGCCCTGGGTGCACACGTGTTTGAAGACAACAACTGTCAGCAAGCACGACCTCAGATAGAGTTGGGAGTGCTCCCAAAAATAGCCGACAGTAAACTTAGAAAAACATTGACAGTGAGAGTTAAAAGTGAATACAATGACACGAGACATGCAGTGGATTTAAAGGTAGGACTGTTGGTGGGGAAGTGGGGATATCATGAGGTCTAGAATACAGTGTAGAGTATACGAGGAACACTGAAGAATTAAAATGTGAAGCAGAGTAAGAGTAGTTTTCTTCTTTTGAACATGAGTGGGTGATAGAAATGTAAATGTCAGGGTCTAGTGGTATGTTATATTGTGTCTGTTGTTAGTATTCAGATTTATGGATTTTACTCAAAAAAAAATAAAACACGCCTTTCTTATGGACCATACAGGTATATACCTGACGTTTCAGTGATGTATACCTATGCCAGGACTCTTATTTCCCCTATTTAGATATATTTAGATTTGGGCCTATCTCTGCTGTTGGTTGATATGTTCTTTGCAATCCAGGTGTAGACTACTTTTTGTATCCTTTTGGATCAATGGCAAATGGCATGTAATAATCAGGGCTTAAAATTTCCACTTGCCGCTTGTAATTGGAAAAGAGAAAATGTATCCCTGGTAAGTAGAAATTAATTTATGATGAAAGTGCCATGGACCTGCTAGGCTTTCCAGTGGTAATTAACTTTTAAGTATTGGCTAGTAAAATTTGAAATTGTAAGCCCTAGATTAATGTTTACATTTGAGAATTTGAGGGATTTGCATCTTATTTTTAAACCAACTTATTATTTTAAACAATTATTATGGGAGGTAAGACAATGTGTAATTATTTTACCATGCATGAGGTATATACATCAAGTAGGTGCTAGACTTGAACATTTATTTATAATTCACAACTTGTGTTATAAGCATTTACAACATATACAGTATGCCAGAGTGTGTGGCTGAGTTTTGATGTACCCCTTTGTGTTGGATGGAAGATATTTTACAGATACACATTGTATAGGGTGTTCATACTTAATATACGAGTAATTAAACACCCCTAGTCACATGAACTATATTATTAGTAGGAGTGCTAGCACTGCAGTCTTCTCTTGCCCCGTCACATACTCTGAGGGCATTTTCTATTTAGTTTTAAGAACCCTGATTACACTTTAAGAGTTTACATTCACTCATTCATTGCATTCATTCCATTTTGAAAAATATGCCTTACATATGGCAGTCTATCACTGACCCATTCTCACCTTATTTTCTACCACATCCCCAAAAGATATCTCTCTGTACACACTGTGACATCCTCACACATATATAGCACTGTGATATAGAGATCTACATGTGCAATAATATGCAACACACACTCACACCCACTGGTGTGGGGGGATCAATTTGTGGGAGGCGGACAGTGTGGGGGGGACAGTATGCAGGGGGTGACAGTGTTGGGGGCAATGTAGAGGAGGGTAGCAGTGTGGGGGGCAGTTTGTGGGAGGTTGACAGTGTAGGGGGTAGTGTGTCTTGATGACAGTGTGGGGAGGCAGTGTGTGAGTTGGTGACAGTGTGGGGAGACTGTTTTAGTGACAAACCTCCCCACATTGAAATACCTTAAAATAAATGATGAATTCCCTGGGGCGGTGGGCAGCTCTCCCTGATTGTCCGGTTAGGGGCAGAGCATTGCAACAACGCTCTTGGAACTCGCAAGACCTCTATCACATGGTCTGCAGCTCGGCACCTGGTGGAGCTGCAGACCTGAAGTGCTGGACTATTTCCTAGGCATCTGGCAACATATAGGGCAATTTGCTGGTTCCCCTCCCGGTGTTGAGATGGACCGAGGACCCGACAGGTCTAAGTGACCTAAGGTAATTTAGACTGCCTTGAGGCCTTAGGTGGCTGCCTAAATCACTTAATTAGACAGCTGCCTCTGGGCCTGTTGTATGCAATCACCTCAGTGTCACAATGCCCTATTTCAAGGGTGTCAACCATAACCACAATTAACATAAAATTAATCAATTAAATTGATTTACACCAAATTCATAAATATACATATTCCAGTGAAAAAACTGTGCATTCATAATTATAAATTTCCATATATTAAATTAAATTATTATTAAATTCCATATTAAATAGCCATATTTGGACATCCTGTTTTGGAATCCTTTCAGGTGTGTGTAGGTATGGGGCTATTGCTGCACTTATCCTTATTTAGCTATGTTGATATTTTTCCCTCCTCTTTAACTTTTTTATTTTCTTGTTTCTCTCTCATGGATAAACTCTTTCATTTATTATGAATTTAATCATTATGAATACACTGTTTTTGCACTGGAATATGTATAGTTATGAATCCGGTGTTTAAGTTACTGACTGTTTTTATTTAATTAAATTATTTTGCACATATTATGTTTATTGTGGTTATGGCTGACAATCTTTAAATAGCGTATTGGAATACTGAGTTGATAGCTTGATAAAGGCCTCTCTGTAGGCCAAAATTTTGCAGTTTTTGTTTCAATAGACCCGCCTTCCTGCAGCAATCCTGAGTGCCTGGACCTACCGGGACCAAGGACGGGCTGGTCCTGCCTATAACGCACAATACGGAACAACTATATGTTCCTTATTGAAGGATCTAAACATGACTAGGCATGGGAAACTCAAGGGCAATTGCTCTTTGTGACGAACCAAAATGTCTCTACAATGCTTTTTATACAAATATGTACTGTGATCCTATATATGTAATATAGTTGACACATTCCTGTGTTTGGATAGTCTAGCATTTTAAAAGGTTACTCCAAACACAATCACCACTTTAGTGATTTGAAGTACTTATGTTGCCTGGTGTCTGTATGTGCAACGTTTCTCTATAAAACACAAAAAATATGCAAATATTTAGTTGAACCACATTACTGCCAGATGTGTAACTTCACCTCTGGCAGTGTCATTTAGCGTCTTTTACTAGCCCGGACAATTGATTGAGGTGCACATATTATGCTGGATTATTTTTAAATAATCTATTCTCTGAATTTCAGGATACACTTAACAACAATGGTGGATTCATTTCTCAGAGAGACAGCTGGGCAGATCCTGAGAGGAATGAGACTGGTGAGAGTTAGATATTGTCTCTACATGGATTCTCTTCTCTTTTATGGGTGTGGGGCTATTTTTTTTAAATCACTTTGTTTAGGAAAATTATTTTATCTTCCACACTGTTTCATCCTGGGTGAGTGTAACTGTTATCCTTGTCTCAATATTTCCAATTGTTTGTATTTATTTTAACTCTTTGTTCAAATGATGATGTGCATTTGTTCTTTATTTATATATTAATGTCTCTTTGTTTGTCTGATATTTTTGTCCCTAGGAGTATTCTTGTTTGAATGTAGCTCACATTTCTTCAAACTCTACTAAAATGTTTCTTTTCCTTTCAATACTAGAGTTTGTCGCCCATTCCCAAGTCGCTCAGTCGGAAATGGAAATGCACACAGTTTCTGCAAGTGACAATATAGGAACAGAACTTGACAGGCCTCAGGGAAGTGATGTCTCCAGAATTCTACCTGCCAGTCTTCACCAGGTAGGAAATGAAGGGCACTGGCCAGCTGATGCAGCATCCAGAGTCACAACACCACCCCAAGAACATCATGATGATTTAAGCCCAGAGAGGAGATTAAGCACACGAGGACATCCATCTAATTCTTCAAACGAAACAACATCTCCATCATCAGATCCTGGAATTGAGGCTGATCTGACAAGTCGTGGTCGGTTCATGCCACCTGGAGACTGTAGTCAGGATCTCAGCTCACCTGGTTCTGATTCTGATATAGAAGGTGAACTTGAAGCAGCCTTTGCCCGTGAAGGTGGAAGGTTGGTTGGAACTATGATCTCCTCTATCTCAGAGACAGAGCTGGACCTTAGCAGTGATTCAAGCAGTGGTAGATCATCTCACCTAACAAACTCTATTGAGGAGGCCAGCTCACCCACATCTGATCCTGAGCCAGATCATGTTGGAGAGGGAGATGGAGGTCGACAAGGAATTAAAGATTCACTCCTCTTAGATAAGGAAGAAGAAAATGCCCCGGTACTGGTGGAACCAGAAGAAAAATACAGTTCCTGGAATATAGATGAAGCACCGGTACATGAGGAACCTGATGTCAATGCACAACGTAGTCTTGAAAGCATTCGCCGGTCATTTTATTTGCCAGTGGGACCTAAACTTATACCAGAAACAGAGGCTAATAGTGAATATGACTCTGACTCTGAGTCAGAGGCTGATTTGAGTGAGGATTCTGACTCACCATGGCTGCTCAGCAACTTGGTAAATAAAATGATATCTGAAGGCTCATACCCAATCACCTGTCCAGATGAATGTTTTCAAAGGCAAACTAGCCCTTCTTGCGACACCCTCTCCCCAGCTTCAGAATTGGATCCTGAGAACCTAGAGCAAGAAGTGGAGGCTGAGCTAAACAGTCCTAAGGAGCCATCTGATGATTTGGTCTCAAAACAACAGAGCATTGAATTAGTAGATATGGAAACTCTACAAAACTCTTTGAGCCACACAGAGAGAGAAGAGACCCGTCCTGGCTTGTATCTTCTGCATGATTCACGTGATACTGTTACTCCAATCTTTGAAGGACTTCCTCTCCACTTAGAGGGCTTATCACACACTGCTAAGTGTCTTCCACAGTCTCCTGGGCATAGAGCTGAACTGAAACCAAGACCTGGAACAGAGCAACTACTGCAGAATCCAGCTGAGGGCTGGGATATTGACCGTGATCTGGATTCTGGCATCCTGGAAGATAATGAACTTTGTGATGACCTCTGTCAGGAACTAAACCAAACCCAACCCACAATGGACATCTCCACAGCCCAGACCAACCATGGCTTTAACCTGGAATATTCTGGTGAGGAAGACGAGGAGATACCTTATTATAGAAGCCTAAAAAGTTCTCCATTCCAGAGCTGTGTTGGGGATAAATCTTTTATGGGCTCCCCAAACAATGAAACACGGTTAATAGATGATTCTCTGGCCTACGATTCAATGAAGTACACTTTAGTAGTGGATGAGCACACTCAGTTGGAGTTGGTTAGTCTACAGCGATGCACCTCCATAATGAGTGATGGAAGTGACCTCCTTAGAGCATGTGATGCCGGTGATCTAGAGGAGGATGAATTTGGAGACGAAGTGGAAGTCAATGAACAAGAATCCTCATCAGGTGACTCATCTCCTGAGCCCAATATGCCTTTCTCCAAGAAATTCCTCAATGTTTTTGTGAACAGCACATCACGATCCTCAAGTGAGTAACTAGATCACAAGTATAGTAATTTTATTGTGTATGTGCAGAGTGAAAACTTAGTTAAACCTGGTATATTCCCCTCACATGCGTAAGAGCCATATATTTATTTGCAGTGCCCAGCAATTAGTGATTTGTAAAAATGTAACTTATATAGTGGCATATTTTTTATCTAAATACCTCCTAAAAAACATTGTATGTTCTATTTGATATTGTTGCCAGAATAACTCAAGATATACTAAAATCTTTGATTATGTAACTACGTGATTGACTGTACGAGTAGCCTGACCTCCCATTGTAACTGCTGATGTGTACAGTGATGTGTTTAGTGTCTGATGGAATCATTGCGAATATACTAGACTTTGTATTTTACCGTCACAAATGAAAGTGTGTAAGCTGTGTAATATGTCAACAGGCACGGAGTCCTTTGGGCTGTTTTCCTGTGTACTTAATGGAGAGGAGCGTGAACAGACACATAGAGCTGTGTTCAGGTGAGTCAATATTTATATACTCTAAAACATGAATGTACTTTATGCAGTATATAATAGGTTTTATTATGATGCAACCAAAAAAAACTAAATTATTGGATACTCATTGCAATACTGACTGCAGCCATGGTTTTAGAATGATATATTTTATACCTCAATGTAATATTTATTTAAATGTGTCTGTCTGATTTAAAATATATATATATACAGTTGCAAGAAAAAGTATGTGAACCCTTTGGAATGATATGGATTTCTGCACAAATTGGTCATAAAATGTGATCTGATCATCATCTAAGTCACAACAATAGACAATCACAGTCTGCTTAAACTAATAACACACAAAGAATGAAATGTTGCCATGTTTTTATTGAACACACCATGTAAACATTCACAGTGCAGGTGGAAAAAGTATGTGAACCCTTGGAATTAATAACTGGTTGAACTTCCTTTGGCAGCAATAACTTCAACCAAACGTTTCCTGTAGCTGCAGATCAGACGTGCACAACGGTCAGGAGTAATTCTTGACCATTCCTCTTTACAGAACTGTTTCAGTTCAGCAATATTCTTGGGATGTCGCATTCTTGAGGTCATGCCATAGCATCTCAATCGGGTTGAGGTCAGGACTCTGACTGGGCTACTTCAGAAGGCGTATTTTCTTCTGTTTAAGCCATTCTGTTGTTGATTTACTTCTATGCTTTGGGTCATTGTCCTGTTGCAACGCCCATCTTCTGTTGCGCTTCAGCTGGTAGACTGATGGCAGACTGTGATTGTCTATTGTTGTGACTTAGATGATGATCAGATCACATTTTATGACCAATTTGTGCAGAAATCCATATCATTCCAAAGGGTTCACATACTTTTTCTTGCAACTGTATATATATATATTTTACCACTTTGTGTCATTGTTGTCCTAATTTGCACAAAGCAGCACTGTTCTCATTTTCCTGGGTTTTCCAAAACCTGTACATAATTCTACCTGTGTTACCATTTATCATCTCCATCCTGTATGACAGCTTTAGCATTCCCTATCTGTTTTTACCCAGGATATTGCTGATTGAATTTATTGCATGAGACTATCCACTACTATATACCTGCACTCTTATTAGCAGTATCTATATTCTTCCTAAAGGCAGCATACATAGCAGTTTTTGGCCGAGATTAAAGGACTTCTCAAGGGCAGCCCCATTTCTATGGAATGACCAATCACACTGTGTATCAGACTTTACCCTAGTCATCAGTCTATTGAGAAATCCCTTAGACGTCATATTTATTAGAAAGTGTGTCATCATCATTTTTATTTATTTAATGCAAGCTGGTGAATCTCTAGTCACATCCAGTAACTAAAGGTTCCACATTCCAGTTCTTTCCGATCTATTTTATAAGTTCTGAGTAGATAGAGGTACCAGACATGAAAATCCTCTGATGAGTTCTTCTTCTTCTTGTGTTCTTTTACTCCACTACCACCTTGACTGGAAGCTTGCTTGAGCAAGGTTCTCACAACCTCTTGCTTCTGTTCGCATTCATTTGTGAAATTCTTATATTTCCACTGAAAAATTGTAACATTCGATGGAATATGTTTGTGTTATATCTCCTCTGTCTTGATGCCTCCATCATGTCTGCATCAGTCTCTTTAGATGGGAAGTTCCTTTACCTCAGTGGTTCGCAAGGAAATTAAATATAAATGCTTAATGTGTTTAAGAACAAGTGTACACTAGTGTGAAAACATTTATGTAGATGTGAATAAATGCTGTAAAGTAAGAATTATTTTAAAAATACAAATGTTAAATTTATTTTTATCAATTAACTTAATGCAAAGTGAACAGAAGCAAAATCTAACAGGATTTTTGACTAAAGTGAGAATTCAAGGTGAATGCAAAGTCAACTTTAAATTTAACCACAAAATAATCAAACTGGACAAATGCTCCTGACAAAAATGGTCAGCGATGCTTCCAATTTTGCTAGTCTGACCTTGGAGGGACACCCCAGACACCTAAAGCACTTGGGCTTGATGAAAAGCTTCATGTGAAATTAATGTGTCCTCTTTTTTTCATTTTGCTAAAAGTGCAGATTTCAATAGAAATGGACACTTTTATAATTTAACTTGGTTACACCCCCTTGGCTTTCAAGCAGGCAATGGGTCCTGTTACTACCTGGTTTCGTGAGTTTAGTGGAGCTTAACTCAAGAGGCAGCATTTGCCCAGAGCACCTGCCTTGCATAAACTTCTCATTGAGCTGCTCTGGAAAGTCTGTGATTGGAGAGTCACAGAAAGTTTTAGCGGGGTTAGAATGAGAGGGCTTGCAAAGGCAGCAGACTAGAGAACTGCAGATTTTGCAAGCTGTTTTTAGATTTACCTCCATGAAAAAATACCTAATTAAATGCATGCATGTTTTTATTTGGAATATATCTACTAAACAGTGTTTTTTAAAATGTATTTTGCATTTGGGCAGTGCAGTGTCCCTTTAAATTTGAAATTCACTTTTATCTCACTGTAGTACATAACTCTGTATATTTTGCGTGCCAGCTTTTGCTATACATCTGTGGTCAAACATTTTGTTAATGCTTACAAGTGGAGTCTGAATTTAAAAAATAAACTGATGGCTCAACAGCAGCTATTGGTCAAGCGGTTGTTTTAGAATGTGGCTGGCATGGGATTATGGGAGTTATGGTTGTTGCATGATCAAACTGGCACTACTGGAACTGGATAGAATTAACTGAACAAAAAATATATAAACATGTTCTTTCCTTAAGTACAAACACGTGTGCACCAAGAACTTTGTAAAATGATTAAGCTATGAGGGTATTATCAAGAATTATAAATCTTAATTTCCCTTAAATATCCAAGTGGAGATCTGATTACAGATTAGATGCTAGAATTAAGGAAATCTTGGGTTTGCAGAGAATAATTGAAGGCTTTAAAGACTACATGAAGCCTGTTGACATATGTGCCAATTCTAAAAGTAGATTTTGTCATAAAAGTCTAAACGTTGGGATCTTGATTGATTTCTACATCCTATATTTCCACCATATTAATTATTACTCAAAAGTGATGAAATTGTTTCCAGTTAAGATTTACAAGATCGTGTTTGTTAAATTTTACTTTCATCTCTAAGTCAAATAATTGACTTCCATGGAAATCTCGATCTGGGTGATTTTTGGATATGATGGTCACCCAGATCGGGGCTATCAGGGCATGTAACGCTTGTGTGGTATTCATGTTTTTGAAGGTACTTTTGGGGTGTTTGTAAATTGTATGTTTTTCTGTGCCTGGAGATAATTGAGTTTTATTTTTAATTATCTCCCAGGCACATGGGGGGGATTACCCTGTTTTGTGTGGAAGTGTCATAGGCATGTTTTCTGTGTCCTTGTACTGCATAAAAGCAGGCCACTGAGCCTTGATTAAACAGATCATCTTACCCCTTCATGAAGTTTAGGCTCATGTTTGGGGGATTGGGAGCTATATTCACACTTATAATCACTACGGCACTTGGGAGATTCTTCAAGGATGTACTTTCCTGGAGTACTGGGATCCATTACAATGTCACTCTTCTACTGACCTTTGCTCTGGGACATAATTACCTTTACACATTATTAGTATTTTTCATGGTCTCTCCTCAATACGGTGATCCATTTGAGCAAGTGCTCCATGGTAGTCACTACTAGGCCCCATCCAAGTTGAAAATTCTAGTGCTATGATTGAATGTTCCATGCCTGCTATATTACTAATTTTAATAAGCCAGTTTTCATTTGATGACTTCTATTTTTATTCTTTATTTATAATAATACTGACCTAGGCCTCAGTTTAATATTGTTGGATATGTTTTTTTAAATGATTTAATATTTTTTGGATAAACTTTTAAAAAGATTTTTCAAAATATATAATATATATATAAAAATATATCAATATAAACAAATACCATTTTTTACAAAATTAATTTTTTTTTTCCATAATATTAAATACTTTTAAAAGTTTAGCCAACATTTTTAAAAACATTTCAAAAATGTATCCAACAATATTGAATCAAGGCCCTAGTTCATTAATTTCCTTTATTTTCCCAGGCAGGTGATTTAACTATGTTGCTTGGATACAGGAGTATTTACGTTGATTGATTTCTCTTTAATCCACAGGCCATTTTTTCTTTTCCTTTTCTTCACTCTCCAACTGTTCTGCTTCCTATACTATTTAACAACATTTTCTTTGAAGTTTTCAATAGATCAATATATATTTTTTAAATTAGCAAAGGATGCCCTATTTAAATGTCTTGTTGATGAGTTATTTTATAGTTATATTCTGCTCTTCAAATCCTTTTTGTTTGCTGTTCCTTGTACTGTGCCAGTGATACTATGGGTGTCTTTTGCAGGTTCATCCCTCGTCATGAAGATGAACTGGAATTAGATGTTGATGACCCTTTGCTGGTGGAGTGCGAAGATGGTTCTTGGTGTCGCGGGTACAACATGAGGACGGGAGAGAGAGGAATCTTTCCTTCTTTCTATGCCCATGAGGTGGTGTGTCCGGTAAAAGAGAATGTTGGTAGGTTTCTTTTCTAGCTGTGGTCTCATCTTGCATGTTATTACCTAATTGGAGCCATATTCATTATGTCACTGAGCTGTGGAGTATAATTACTAAAACATTCCACTATAGAAACCCCAAAACAAATGATAAAATATAGGTATATGTTTCCATTGCTTTGTGCCAATCATTGGCTATTCCAGTCAACAAGGCATTTACATTCGATTACTTCTTCAGCATAGCCAATTCAAATACACACTTCAGAAACATTGTTTTGCATCAATAAGAAAAACTATGGTATCACCAAAATCTGTGAATATCACAAAATCTAGGTGATGCCTAATTACAGTAAATTTAGATCAGAGATTTGAACTAGTATAGGTGATTGTTTGGACAAAGAGTATAATTGCGTTGGATGGTTTAGGCATGTTGACTAATAGAAGAATCTTAAATCTACATCTAGTAATCTATTCTTAACTATCATCCTGGAATCCTGCAGCACATTAATTGGCTTTGAGTTTTGCTTAAATTATGCTAATACCTCCTAATATTGTTCCTTGGTGATAGATATGGAGATACTTTTTTTTTTGTTTTTCATGTTTGCAGATTTCTACATTATTATTATTATTATTATTATTATTGTTATTATTTATAAAGCGCCAACAAGTTCCATAGTGCTGTACAATGGGTGGACTAACAGACAAGTATTTGTAACTAGACGAGTTTGACACACAGGAACAGAGGGATTGAGGGCCCTGCTCAATGAGCTTAAATGCTAGAGGGAGTGGGGTAATGTGACATAAAAGGTAAGAGTAGGGTAGAAGAGTAGGTTGCTAAAATAGTGTTCATTGAGGGTTTAGTGTTTTGTTTTGATGACCGTTTCAGGAGAGGAATCAGTGTGCTGGGAGGGAAAGCTGTTCACAGTTTAATTGATATGCTTTCCTAAAGAAGTAATTTTTAAAAGATTTTTTGAAGGAGTGGCTATTGGGTCTAACAGAGAGGGAAAGGGCATTTCATAGTAACGGTGCAGCCCTAGAGAAGTCTTTATGGTGAGCATCAGAGGAAGGAGTACGAACAGAGGTTAGATGTAGGTCTCCGGCAGAGCATAGGTGCCTAGATGTATATGATATTTGTGTATTAGTGAGGATAAGTAGGTTGGAGCAGCATTGTGTAGATATTTGTAAGCAAGTATCAGGATCTTAAATTGGGTCCTATATCTTACGGGAAGCCAATGTAGGGATTGACAAAGAGGGGAGGCATGGGAGGTGCGGCTCATCTTCATTCTAGACTGTAATGGGGCAAGTTGGGAACACGTAAGACCACTAAGAAGCAGATTACAGTAGTCAAGGCGAGAGAGGACAGTGGCATGGACAAGCACCTTTGCCGTATCAGGCATTAAATAAGGTTGGATGGGCACAATATTTTCGAGATGGAAGCGGTCGGATTTGGCGATTGATTGGACATGAGGGGTGCAGGAGAGGTCGGAGTCAAAGAGGCAGCGAGTCTTAGAGGTAGTGCGGATGATAGCGCCATTGACTTGGAGGGACACAGACAAGGGAGTAGCAACACTTGAGGGAGGGAAGACCAGAAGTTCTGTTTTGGACAGGTTTAGTTTAAGGAAATGAGCAGCCATCCAGTTGGAAATAGCAGAGAGGCATTCAGAGACACGAGTCAAGAGGGGTCGTGAGAAATCAGGGGAGGACAGATACATTTGCATGTCATCCGCATAGAAATGATACTGGAAGCCTAAGGAGCTGATGAGTTTACCAAGGGAGGCAATGTAGCTAGAGAACAATAGGGGACAAAGGACTGACCCTTGCGAAACACCAACAGAGAGGGATTGGGGAGGAGAGGCAGAGCCAGAGAAAGAAACACTGAATGAGCACTGGGAGAGGAAGGAATAGCACCAGGAGAGAGCAGTATCTCATAGACTGAGATTACGGAGGATGAGAAGAAGCTGTTGATGATCAACAGTGTCAAAAGCAGCAGAAAGGTTAAGGAGAATTAGGATAGAGTAGTGGCCATGGGATTTTGCAGTGACAAGATCATTGGATACTTTGGTCACAGTTGTTTCAACAGAGTGACGAGTACTGAATCCAGATTGGAGCAGGACAAGCAGAGAGTTGGATTCGAGGAAGTCTGTCAATCTCGCATTTACAACTCTCTCAAGGATCTTGGAGACAAAAGGCAGTAGCGAGATAGGGCGGTAGTTGGATGGGGAATTAGGATCAAGGTTAGGCTTTTTCAGAATTGGGGTTACAGTTGCATGTTTGAAGGGTAGAGGAAATGTGCCAAAGGAGAGGGAGAGATTGAAAATTTTAGTCAGAGGCAGAGCAAGAGAAGGAGACAGTGCAGATGAGATACAAGGGAATAGGATAGAGGGAACATGTAGTGGGGCTGGAGGAACAGAGCAGAGCATAAACCACTTCTGCTGTAGCATGTGCAAATGAACATAGGACAGCTGAGGGAGTGTGGTTAGTGGAAATGTTGGTAGTGGATGAAGAGAGATGAGAGATCTCTTCCCTGATTGTAGAAATCTTCTTAGTGAAGTGAGTTGCAAAGTTGTGGCGGTCAAGTTGGTTGGAGGAGGAGGCACAATAGGGTTCAGAAGAGAGTTAAAAGCATGAAACAGTAGTTTGGGCTTGCAGGAGGGTGTGGTTATGAGTGTATTAAAGTAGTTTTCTTTTGAAGAGGAAAGAGACAGATTGTAGGAGCGCAGCATAAATTTATAGTGGAGGAAGTCAGATGCAGAGTGAGATTTTCTCCCGCAGTGTTCAGCAGTTCTTGAAAATTTTTGGAGGTATCAGGTCAGCTTGATGTGTCAGGGTTGTAATTGGGGGCGCTTAGTGCATTTAAGTGTAGGAGGTGCCATGATGTCTAGTTGAGAGTAGCGTTGTAGAGGGAGGTTGCAGTATTAGGGCAGGTGAGATTTGAGATGGGTGAAAGGAGACTTTGGAGGTTGGTGGAGAATTCCTGTAGGTCAAGACAATTGAGGTTTCTGCAAGACTGATGTGGTGAGGGTGGTGTACTTTGGGTACGGGGTATGCAGATGTCAATGGACAGCAGATGGTGGTCAGATAGAGGAAATTAAACATTGGAGAGATTAGAGGTGGTACAGAGATTGGTGAAGATGAGGTCAAGAATATTTCTTGCTCTATGAGTTGATGAATTAGACCACTGTGTGAGTCCAACGGAGGAGGTTATAGAGAGCAGACGAGAGCCATCGAGGCAGTTAGGGTTGTTGGGGGGGAGGTGGTGACAAATTATGGCAATTCTTAGAGGAGTGGGTTTAAATAGACAGACAATGTGAGTATGAACTTCAAAGGAAGTAAAGGAAAGGGCAGGGAAGATAGGTTGAAAGGTACATTGAGGGGAAAAAAGGATGCCTACACCACCTTCTTTACAGTTGTTTGGTCCAGGAGTGTGGGAGAATTGTAGCCCACCATAACATAAAGAAGCAGGAGTAGCAGTATCAGAGGTGGACAGCCAGGTCTCAGTGAAGAAGTGTGAACGAATTTGAGATGAAGAGGGCGTGTATGGAGGTTGATTTTATATTGCTGCAGATGGAGCGGGCGTTCCAGAGTGCACACTAAATATTGGTAGATGGGGATAGACGGCATGGTATTGGGATGAGGTTTGTGTGGTTTCTGGTTGATTTAGTGTGAGTAGAGGAGATGACGGGCCCTGGGTTGGGATTGAGTGGGAGAAGGTGGGAGAGAATAGAGAAGAGAGTGTAGGGTATGAGATGAAAGAAGGGGGAATGCAGCATAGAGGGGTTAATATGAAGGTTGTTGGGTGGTTGAGGGAAATAGGTGTAAGGAGAGATTTTGATACTAAAGGAGAAAAGGGAAAATAAGAGGAGGACAAGATAGAGCATTACTCAGATGGATATGCACTTCCAGAAAATAAAAAAAAGTCTAATGTATATGGGGGCCTTATGTTTAAACCAACTCTATCAATCTTATATGCATCTTTCTTCAATGCAATATCTAAGGATAGCAAATACACATAATACATAAGAAGGTTTCAGTTAAGATACTAGGAAATTAATGAAGCCGGAAAGACTTAACATATAATTTTAATGTCTCCTCTTAAAGGGACATTCTAAGCACCAAAACAACTTTAGCTTAATGAAGCAGTATTGGTGTGTAGATCGTGTCCCTGTAGGCTCACTGCTAAAGCTGTTTCGATGCTTAGAGTGTCCCTTTAAACAATAAACACACAGGTACTCTATTTTATTACCCTACTAAACATATTGATCAGAGGATTTCCTTTATTTCACATAGAAACATTTCTTTCTAAAAATCTAGACTTTGGGATGAATAATTAAATGTTACCTTGTGTTGCATTGATATATATGTATTTAATATTCCAGGATAGTTAATGTTTGTCTTTGTTTTGTCATGTTATTGCACACTTTTATTTTTAACTAATAATTTAAAAGGCTGTTTACTTGGCAACAATAATTATTAGTATTGGTCTTTTATTGGTGGCCTTCATTGTGGGTAGCTGAGATAGTGCTTCACTGGAGTTTCTCCCAAGGAGTTCATCAGCTACTGGTGTCACTGTGAATGAGAGCAAATAAGAGTTCTTTTATTTTTATTATGCCCATAAGCACTGCATTTTTGATTAAAAGTCATTTTGGAGCCTGCAGAATCCTCTGAGCTCCTGGGATTTTTGCTGATGTAGATTTTGGTCCTATCTTTGCCAAATCATAAAATGAGTATCTGCCAAGTTCTATTGTACAGTCTGGAGCTGGAGGACATCCACTGCTTAAGAGCTTTCATTTTTAATAGCGGGTGCAAATGCAGAGTCTATGGATGTATTTCTTATGTGTATTTATTTGTAATTGATCGTAATATAAAGAAAGAAGCATGATTAGCTAGTTTATATCAAGGAAGGAAAAACTGCATAGTTCTATCTTGGCAGGTAACGAGTTCCTTAAAGGCGTGTTGTCTTATTTATAATAGACCTTAGAGCACACTTTTTATGTCACTTCCTGCAGTTCTCAGGGGGAACTCTCCGTGGGTCCAGGTGTTCGATGTCCAGTTTCTGGGATCTGTAGAAGTTCCTCATCATCAAGGCAATGGCATCCTATGTGCAGCTATGCAAAAGGTAAAGCTTTTAACAGATTAAACAACACAATGGACTGTGTTAGACATGAACAACATTAACACGTGTAAACAGGAAGGGTATAGTTAGTTTCCAGTCATTTCACAGATCATTCCTGTATACAGTCTTACATATGTCTTTTATTTTATAAACACAATGTGCCTGATAAAGACAAATGCATATCACAGATGTAGAATTGTGAAAAATCTAAACCTAAAAACAGTCACAGAAGAGTAACAAGGCTACACACTCTCTGCTAAATGTTCTGTTGGTGCCATCAACATTTTAGATGCACTATAGCAACTATGGCTTATTGGATTTGTTGTTGGGGGTATATTTTGAGTAGGCTATGTGTTTAGTCCTCCAAGGGATTTGTAAAAATCTGAGCTTCCACTTCCATCTAACGTAAACCCCTTAATTCTTGAATTATATCTCCCTCTTTTCTCAATCCCATAATTAAGTCTCCTACCTCCATCTTTTCTCACTTGTGCCTCCCATTCTACTCATGAATTACTCCCACATGTCTCCTGCCTATTTGTTGTCACTTAAATAAATAAACCCATGCATTCACACTGACACTATCGATCCAAATACAATCATACTAACACTATATGCACAACTAAGAATGTGCTTTCACACAGATTCTTTGCACATACAAATATGCATTTATAAATATGGCTTTACATTGTATGTATACCTAGAGATATACACAATTACATGAATGTTATATGAAACATTTGCTTAATGCATGCAAATTCAAAGACCAAAAGTCTATTTTTGCCTGGAAGATTGCACTCAGTCCAACCATGGCCATTAAATATGACATTTTAATGTAAGAAATTGATCCCAAAGACCAGAATTAATTGTCAGTTTCATACAGCCCAGCAGTTAATGCTGCATTGGCTCATTTAATTCTGGAACAAGATGCTTAAAGAAAATATTGTTATGACTGCAAAAAGTAATATTGGTCCTTAACCACTTAAGGACACATGACAGTGTCATGATTCCCTTTTATTCCAGAAGTTTGGTCCTTAAGGGGTTAAAGAGCCAAATGTGTTACATAGTTACATAGCTGAAATGAGACTTGTGTCCATCAAGTTCAGCCTTCCTCACATCTGGTTTCTGCTGTTGATCCAAAAGAAGGCAAAAAAAAACCAACAGTTTGAAGCACTTCCCATTTTGCAACAAACTAGGAAAAAAATCATTCTTGATCCCAGAATGGCAGTCAGATTAATCTTTGGGTGTTATTGTTAACAGAAAAAAAATGTAAGGTTACCTGGCTACAAATAGCATAACACCTGTTTTATCAACTACAGATTGCAACTGCAAGAAAATTGACGGTACATCTGCGACCGCCTGCCAGCTGTGAACTTGAAATCTCACTACGTGGTGTCAAACTCATCCTTAGAGGCGATGACCGACCAGAGGTAACAAATCCAAAACTAAAACCTACAATCAACAAACAGAATGAGGATTACGTACTAAAAAAACAGATAATTAACATGACATTGAGCACCAAAAGGCAATGAAAGAGAATGATATATAGCACTGATCTTTTTTATAGGGACATTCCAGTGGAGATTATTATTGCATAGAGTTTATTCATCAAATTGTAATAAAATGAAAGCAAAATGCTGATTTGGAAAACTTCTCCAGAAAAACTTTCTCCAACTTTGCTAAAGTCTCAGCTTAGATAGCCCAACTTACACTTTGGAATTCTGTTTTTACTTCACTTTAATTTGGTGTTTAGAAAATAAACCCAATCAGAATTACATGTTTTTAACACCAATAAAAAAAGAAAAAATATTGACATATCAAAGCACTTAGAAAAGAATGACCACAACAACACGAACGAGTACTTTGAGAGCGTCAACTAGAAAAAATTATTTCATATATTTCATCCATTGATTGGCTTGAATTCGTGGGACATTTTGCTGACAAACAAAATCCACCGGCCCCATTTAGAGAGTGCGCCCTGTGCACTGTTCTTGCCAGGTTTTATTATTATTCATATATATTATTCTGGAATAATACTTTTGTTTTGTTACAGGATGAACGTTGCAGTCACTTTTTCCAGATGAAGAATATATCGTTCTGCGGATGCCATCCACGCAACAGCTGGTAAGACTGGTCTTTGCTTCGTGCGACTCAGGATTATTTTTTTAAACACCTTGTATAATTTTCTAGAACAATCAGTTATCTAGATGTCTCAAAATATACCACCTTCCTCTGAGGAACTTATTGTCCTCCAAATAATGTCACCTTTTTCTGTTTCTAGTTACTTTGGCTTTATCACGAAACATCCTGTCCTGAGCCGCTTCGCTTGTCATGTCTTCGTTTCCCAGGATTCCATGCGACGTGTGGCTGAGTGTGTGGGGTAAGAATAAAATGACAATGACAACCTTACTCACAAAATAAGACAAGTAGATCCCCCGTATTGGGATAAATAGTGTGTTCACAGTTTGAAGATTTTTTTTAATACAAATAAAGATCATGAAAGCTGTTTAATGCCCATGGAAAACCTGCCACTCTGACAGTGGAGAAAAAAATTGTCAGAGAGAAAAGACACACTTTTGCACATCTTTTGTATACATGAGGAGAAATACATTTGTAAACTAAAACAAAATGAAACAGGAAAATAAAATAATGCAGCAAGGAACTAATATAATTAATTAATAAATTAGTCCAAATATAAAAATTACTTGAAAACGGCCTAAAAAGTGAATAAGATATTTTATTATTTATAATCGTAGTAGTATCCACCCCAGTAATTGGGTGATTTATAAGATTAGATTGTGGTATCAATTGATTAGAAAATTGCACAGATTTTTTCACACTGTGATATGATTTTATTTCTGGTTTTTTTTTAGACGGGCGTTCCAAGAATTCTATCAGGAACACGTGGAGTTCAGTTGTCCCACGGAGGATATTTACCTGGAGTAACCAGGGTCTGTAGATATATAGAGGGGATCCGGGTATATATATATATATAGAAAGTGTGGGAAATCCCAGAGTCATCATCAGTCAGCCAGGAACGCAGGGGTGTGAGCTTGCATGACCCCTGACATCAGACTTTACCCCCACAAAACCTATCCTAGGAATACTGTTATTTCAGTGAAACAGAACATTTCACGTTAACCCTTTTCCTGCTTCAGACTGCAGAGTATCTCATGTTAAGCACTTCTCTTTCCTATTATGCACTAAAACTCTTTGCATCGCAACCTCCTTCCTAATATTTTGCGCAGACCAATCCATATTACCGCCCTCCACTACAGATGTCAAAACATCTCACAGCTTTCTTTCCTTTTGATAAATTGCTGAGTATCACAGTTCAACTCCCCACTCCATCTCCTGACTGCATATGGTATTGCATTATTTATTATTAGCTACCAGCAGCAGAGCATCTCATGTTGGCCCAAGGCTGCCACATCGACACTGTTTTAATGGACTCGTAAAACTTCTTGATTCTGTTGGCAACTCATGACTAGTGATTCCCTTCTATTATATATAATTCATATGATGTAGGAGTAAAAATAATAGATTTTTCTCTTGCACCTTATGCATGCTACACACTGTTGCAAGCACTTTTCATGCAATACCCAACAACATGAAGACGTTATATGTGTCCTAGAAAAAATGGAGAACGTGTGAACCCTAAATCAGCAGCTTTCCCTCAAAAGACCATTGCAGAAGAATTGAAATGATACATATCTTCCTTTTCATTCCTACAACACCTCAACCACAGCTAGCTTCAGACTGGCAACGATTGTGATAATTAACTCTTTTACACACCAGCAGAGCATGATGCTTTTAATTTCTGTAGAGCATCAGTATTTTATGGCTTTTGCAGATAATTTACTTGGCTATTTCTCACGGAATTGTCCTTCTTTTACACATCAGACACCTTTGCAGCTCACTCATCCATTATCTCTTTCACTGCCAATAAACACAAAATCATTGTGCTTTAGTATGCGTGTGACATAAAGGATTAGTGAGATTAATAACTGCTTTCTATATGGACAAATCTCCGGTACCTTTTGTTTCAATTTATCTAATTCCTTAAACTTTCAAACCATTAAAATACCTGAGGATATGTCTCGTATAAAAGATTGGGTTTGTTATAAATGGTTCTTTGAACTATTTAGATACTGTGTCATATAGTCAGAACACGCATATTCCAAACCTTGTAAATAAAACCAAGTATAATACAAGCCTGGGGAAGGTCAGTAGTTGCAGGTGACATACAGCTCAACTCATATGTTACAGAGTTCCTGATATTGAATATTGTATTTTGAAGAATGTCGATGTTTGAATGTGGTAACAGTATCTTTAGAGATATATAGGCCACATAAGCTGCACTCCAGTTACATTCTTTTTAAATGGCTTTTAACACTTTGTCTGCCATCGGCCTGCAACATTCCACTCTATAAATCTTTCCCTGGCTACCTGTCTGCAGGTGATGTCTGTAAGAATCCTGTTCTATAAGGATCCTGCAACGTATCAGTTCACTTTGCACTCCCTCCAGGGACAGTTTATCAATGTTTTAACCCCCCCCTCCCCCCCAGCATTCATTCTGAATGGCTCACAGTTTATTGCCCTATACATTGCCTCACTTTATGAAAACTGCAGCTATGAAACCCCTACCCCTGCAGCTCATCTCATCTATAACTCATCCCTACCCTTACCGTACCTCCTTATCATTCCTCACATTTTCCAAAACGCCTAGGTGGACACATACTAAGATTTCATCAGTAAATAAAACCTCTCCAATTCTTGTTATTCCATATAGACTATGTATTAGGTTACAAGATGCATTGGAGAGCTATCATAAGTTAGAGAATGTCCACCTTTCAACTTTCAATGCCAGACCTGCAGTAAAAGGGTTAACGGCGTTAGGAGCTGGACTAGAGCATGGAGACGGAACATCAGTCTAGATACATACCTACATAGTAGTCAGAGGAGAGGATATGGGGTCCATTCTGTTAATTAAGAGAGCGTTAAATGAATTTTAGCATGGAAGAGGAAAAGTTACTGCATATCATGGAATAAGTGGAGATTAAAGGATCGTCCAAGATTGTTTGAAGCACTGACATGAAGAGAAGATTTAGTGGTAGGAACAACTCTAGTTCGTAAAATATTATATTTGTGGGGGACAAATATGTAGCATAAAGGAGGAGTTATAGTGCTTAGTGTGAGTTCTAGATCATAGTACGGGAGTTTACCTGTTATAGGGAATATTTTTAGGAGGCATTATACATTTCACACGATTACGGGATATCGATTTTTCATGCCATGGCTCATTTTATCTTTCTGCATCAAATAAAAGTTTGAGCTGCATCCACCGTGTCCGTAATTTTCTCTGCTGAATGCCTGCTTTATATAAGTGTTTTTATGATTACTATGATTCAACATGTATGATGTGCTAGGTGTGTAATACTATAAGTATTCCACTGACAAATATTGAAAAACAAATAAAATGTACATACCTCAAATTGTCTTGTATATTAGTGTAAAATGTATTCAAGTATCTGTACATTGTGCTAGCAAAATTAGTTCCTTCTATTTGTGATATACATTATGTAGATAGAGACTCACACAGTATAAAAGAAGACAAAATTACACGGTAGACTTTTTTTATACCTTCTGGAAACACACTGAAATACATTTTCCAGTGCTCGCACTATGGAGGACCATTATCAAGGTCTTGACAGTAAGACATCAATAAATTGCACTCAAATCACACTGGAGTATTGACCTTTTTATGTCATCTTGTAAACAGCTGGCTTTAAACAAATTTACATTTCAGCAATTTCTGAGTGTTATTAAAGGGTTAATCCAAGCATCCAAGACCACTTTAGTGATTTGAAGTATTCATAGTGCCTGGAGTCTGTATGTGCAATATTTTTCAGGGAAACATTGCACATACAGAGTTTAACCTCTCTGCTGCTGGAGGTGCAGCTCCACCCTTCATTGGGGTGTCATCAGACAGCCTGAAACTAGAATTCAGCCAATTCTGTGCAAATTTTATTGCACAGAATGTCAGTCATTGGCTGAGAACAGTCAGCTGACTCTGTCATAACTGGATGGTGATGGCCAAGGCTTCCGTCTTCTGCAACTCTACAGACCATCGGAGAACCTCAGTGGCCAGCCATATCTGAGGTACCAGGCCAGGATACTCCTAGCATCGTGAACACTACAGCGGGCCGTCGTGGTTATAATGTTTGGAGTAACCCTTTAATTATAACTTATAATAATATACATTATTATGATGTGCACCATGCGGCACATTAAAGCATCTTTTTAGACTAATCATATATGTAACACATTCTATTTTCTTCTTTACCACATCGAACAGTTTACAGCAGGCATCTCAAACATCTCCCGCAGATGTTCAACTCAACTACAACTCCAATAATTATTTGGCCATCTAGTGCATTCAAAGAATTTTGGGAGTTGTTGGCCATCAACAGCTGGGGTGGCAAGTTTTGAGATACATGGTCTACAGTTAACATAGTCTTATATCCACCAAAATAACTGTTTCCACTTGGCTCCTTCTGTCCCACTGGAAACATTGTAACATCAAGATATTTATGGAGAGAACCAACTGCAGATAAGCAAGCAATCTTGTAAACCCACACAAGCCTGGATGCCCCAAATGGCTTAAATTCATCCAAATGGAGAACATTTTCATGGGGCTGCCTTGTAGATGTTAAATTCAGGGACCAGGAACGGTCGTTAGTTTCACCGGGCAGCCACATAAGACCAGGTCGACTGGAATTCCATGAGATTCGCACCTGGTCCCACTGAGCATGTTGCAGCTTCTCTGGGCTCCTGGAACAGGCTGGTCTTACAGCGCTTGACATTGTGGAGGCTAGGAGAAGGTTAGAGGGACCCTGGGAGTGATTTAGCTCTCTTTGTAGAGTGGGTAAATTGGAGTCCTGCACCGGTTAATCTGCTGGCCTGGAGCAGGATCCACCGCAAACATTATTTTGACTGTGTCCATCTAAAAGTTGTTCTTTCTGTCAAGGAGCTCTTATTTGAACTTGGCTGCATATGCAAGTTATCTTGGGAAGCAAAGAAGTTTTAAGATCCCAAGGGCCCTAGGCAGGTTTCCAATTTGTGGCTCCACCTTCATTCTTCACATAGAGATGACAAATGAGTGCAAACTAATTTATATATTTGGAGCCCCTGGGCCCTATGTGGCCAAATTGCATTACTTTATGGTTGTCCTGCTCCATTGGGATGTCAGCAGATTTTAGAAAAGACAAGACATGGTGTCTTTACAATATTTAGCAGGCAAATATTGTGTAATGGAAGACACATGAACTTTCCTGATTCAAGACTATCTAACACTGACAGATGACTTATTATCTGTGAAAAAGAAGGATAATTATTATTAATGCAAGAGCATTGCCTGGCTGAATAACAACACACAATTTTATTGCCCATCCAATCTTCAACAAGGTGATAGATAAGAACACATAGTGTTCAGAAGTGTAGAAGCATAATAAAAAGGACATGCACATACATTTTGTTTCTCAATATTCTGCAGGGAAGATCTAATGACTGTAGATAGGCAAATCCCTGTCACAAAAAAACTTGAAGGGACACTTTAGCTCATTGAAGTGTTCTTAGTGCAGTGTCCGTGTCCCCTTAGTTTTTGAGAAACTGCAATGATTGCATTGCAGGACTAAGACTGCCTCTAGTGGCTGTCCATCAGACAGCCACAAGAGACACTTCATACTGAGGACATCCAGCGTCAGTAAAATCCCCAAAGGAGAGCATTTCCTATGGGGAGGGCCTAATGCACTCGCAATGCTCGCCGTGCATGCACATTAGCCCCCTGTCGGATAACGTCAGAGGAGGCAGAGCACCGACAGCTGGAATCAGATGATTGTTTAAAAGATTTTTAACACCTGAGGGGTGCAGAGGAAACTATTGTATAAGGAATACAGCTTTGTATTACTGACACTGTAGAATCCCCTTAACCACAAGAAAAACTCCAAGACAAGCAGGGCCGGACTGGCCCACCGGGATACCAGGAAATTTCCCGGTGGGCCGTCGGCACCTGGGGCCGGGCAGACACCTGGGTCTGCTGTCGACCGCTGGGGAGGTCTTCTGGCGGACGCTGGCGGACTTGTCCTGGCGGCCGCTGGGGAGGTCTTCTGGCGGTCGCTGGCGGACTTGTCCTGGTGGCCGCTGGAGGGAGCTGCGCTGTCTCTGCTCCCCAGCGCGCAGCTGAATGAGACCGGCGCCGGAATATGACATCATATTCCGGCGCCGGTCTCATTCAGCAGCGCGCGAGGGCGGGAGAGCCGGCGCAACTCCCCCAGCGGCCGCCAGGACAAGTCCGCCAGCGGCCGCCAGAAGACCTCCCCAGCGGCCGCCAGGACATGTCCCCAGATGACCTCCCCAGCGGTAAAAGTCCCCCAGAAGACCTCTCCCTGGCAGGTATAAGTAATGTGTCTGTGTTATGGTGTTATGGTGTCTGTCTGTCTGTATGGTGTGTGTGTGAATGTCTGTGTCATGGTGTCTGTCTGTCTGTATGGTGTGTGTGTGTCTGTGTCATGGTGTCTGTCTGTCTGTATGGTGTGTGTGTGTGTCTGTGTCATGGTGTCTGTCTGTGTCATGGTGTCTGTCTGTATGGTGTGTGTGTGTGTCTGTCTGTGTCATGGTGTCTGTCTTTATGGTGTGTGTGTCTGTCTGTCCATCATGGGGTGTGTGTGTCTGTCTGTCATTCATGGGGTGTGTGTGTGTCTGTCCGTCATGGGGTGTGTGTGTGTGTCTGTCTGTCCGTCATGGGGTGTGTGTGTGTCTGTCTGTCATGGGGTGTGTGTGTGTGTGTCTGTCTGTCTGTCTGTCTGTCTGTCATGGGGTGTGTGTCTGTCTGTCTGTGTCATGGTATCTGTCTGTCTGTATGGTGTGTGTGTGTGTCTGTCTGTCTGTGTCATGGTGTCTGTCTGTATGGTGTGTGTGTGTCTGTCTGTGTCATGGTGTCTGTCTGTCTGTATGGTGTGTGTGTGTCTGTCTGTCATGGTGTCTGTCTGTATGGTGTGTGTGTGTGTGTGTCTGTCTGTCCGTCATGGGGGGTGTGTGTGTCTGTCTGTCCGTCATGGGGTGTGTGTGTCTGTCATTCATGGGGTGTGTGTGTCTGTCTGTCCGTCATGGGGTGTGTGTGTCTGTCCGTCATGGGGTGTGTGTGTCTGTCTGTCCGTCCGGCCATGGGTGTGTGTGTCTTTGGTTCCGTCCGGCCATGCAAAGTGTGTGTGTGTGTGTCTGTCTGTCTGTCTGTCTGTCCGTCATGGGGTGTGTGTGTCTGTCTGTCCATCATGGGGTGTGTGTGTGTGTCTGTCTGTCATGGTGTGTGTGTGTGTGTGTGTCTGTCATGGGGTGTGTATCTGTCATGGTATATGTGTGTTTCTGTGTCTGTCATGGTGTAAATGTGTGTTTAAAAATAGTGTTTTTGCTCACCTTTTTTTTCCCCACGCAGCGTGCTGGTCTCCCTCGACTGGCCCTGCCTCTATAGCTGAGATCATCAAGCTTGATGATCTCAGCCAATCCAATGCTTTGCCATAGGATTGGCTGCAAAACGCCACTCCAATTAGCATCTCCTCATAGAGATGCATTGAATCAATGTATCTCTATGGGGAACGTTCAGCACCTACAGAGTGTGGAGGCCCTGAATGTAGGTGCACTAACACAGGAAGCACCTCTAGTGACCGTCTGAGTGACTGTCACTAGCAGTGTCACTTTGAAGCAATGTAAACACTGCCTTTTGTCTGAAAAGTCAGTGTTTACGTTGAAAAGCCTGTAGGGACATGCTATAGACACCAGTACCACCACATTAAGCTGTGTGTGTGCGTCTGCTAGTGAGTGAGCTTGCTTGCATGCGTGTGCCTGCTAGTGAGTGAGCTTGTGTTTTTATGTCAATGAGCTGATGTATATCAGTAAGATTGTTTGTCTATGAGGCTGTGTATCAATGAGCTTGTGTGTGTCACTGAAATGTCAGTGAAATTGCCTGTGTCTGCATGTGCGTATGCTTACTGTATAATTAAACGTTTTACCCTGAAAGGACCAATATTTTATATTAGAAAAAGCAATATATATATATATATATATATATATACAGGAGTGCAGAATTATTAGGCAAGTTGTATTTTTGAGGATTAATTTTATTATTGAACAACAACCATGTTCTCAATGAACCCAAAAAACTCATTAATATCAAAGCTGAATATTTTTGGAAGTAGTTTTTAGTTTGTTTTGAGTTTGTTTTATGTTAGGGGGATATCTGTGTGTGCAGGTGACTATTATTGTGCATAATTATTAGGCAACTTAACAAAAAACAAATATATACCCATTTCAATTATTTATTATTACCAGTGAAACCAATATAACATCTCAACATTCACAAATATACATTTCTGACATTCAAAAACAAAACAAAACAAATCAGTGACCAATATAGCCACCTTTCTTTGCAAGGACACTCAAAAGCCTGCCATCCATGGATTCTGTCAGTGTTTTTGATCTGTTCACCATCAACATTGCGTGCAGCAGCAACCACAGCCTCCCAGACACTGTTCA